CGCCATCTATCATAAATTTCGTATTATTTAATTTTATTAATTATTAATTAATCTCCTACTTTTTTATATAAATAAATATTTATAAAAAAAAATAGTATAAAACGAAAATTAATGTTGATAAATTAATAAATAATACGTCTTTTTAGATTTTTTATGAATAAAAGAAGCTTTGATTACAATGCCATCTTTTGACACCTAATTAATTTGTTATAATACTCATAACCTCACAAATTTAAAAATAAAATAATTAAGATTTTTGCAATGAAATTAATAAATATCTAAATTATTAATACCTATTTATAATAGATTTTTATGTTTATCGAGATATATTACCGTTGGATTTTCCTGTAAGTGTTTTATTAACCAAATTTTCTTTGCACCATACCGTTAACATCAACTTTAACACTTCCTCTAATTTTTGTCTTAAACTTTCATGATCTCCCGATGAAGGATCGACTAAAAAATTGCTTAAAAATTGACGTTTTGATTTTAAAACATTTCTCCTTTTACTTACTCCATATTAATCCCGGCATAATTCGAATAAACTAATTTAAACAATTTTTTTTGTTAACTCACTCCACCAACTTTATAACCCGCTTAAAACACATTTAGAAATGAGTGTCTCTGTTACTTAATTTTTTCATTCTTTTTTGATTTTCTTCTTACGAGTCTAACCTATTTCAGTCGCCTCTATATTTAGAACGAGGCGTCAGTGTTGCGTTATATTAAGAAATTAGGAAATTTTGATCATTGTTTTCTTTCTCATTTTCTTTTCGATAAAAAAATTAATTAATACGTACCAAACGACTTGGAAGCTTGTCTTTTATACATTTCCAAACAAGATTTTCTGTGGACCATCCTGTGAGTAACCGCTTGGTATTTCTTTCGGAATTCGTGCTCGGATTCCGTACTTTCAATACTTGAAACTGAATCTCTTCGTGGAAGTTCTTCATCTTAATCGATTAATTAAGTAAATTTATGTTGTTTAATTTATTAACAAATATTTTTTTTATTTTGTACCTGTAGCTGATTCCGGTCTAGACCAAGTTTGCATCTCTTCTTGATCGCCGATATAAATCCAGTACCCATCCGTATAAGGCACATTGTACAACCCCAAATCATCTTCGTCATCTGGCGCCCCTGGAAGTACGCTTGGACTTGAATCGGTTGCTCTCAAACCCTCCACATTCGAGTCCAATGGCCGTAATCGTCCTTTTCCTCCCGATTCTGAACGATTTCCTCGTTCTTCTGACTAACAAAAAACATATTTAGAGGTCTTAAAATTAATACAACCTCAACTTTTTTTTTTGATTTAAAAAAAAATTAATTAAATTATATAAATTATATCTGAAGACGCACGGCTCAACCCAAATGTTCTAGGTTTGTTTCTGTTTCAAAAATCTAAAAAGACGTATTATTTATTAATTTATCAACATTAATTTTCGTTTTATACTATTTTTTTTATAAATATTTATTTATATAAAAAAGTAGGAGATTAATTAATAATTAATAAAATTAAATAATACGAAATTTATGATAGATGGCGCTAGAATAGTCAATGTCGGTAATGAAGGATTTTAGCAAATACAATTAGGTTATGATTTCCCCCCTCCACTCGTTCTCAGAAAATCTTGATTAAAAAAACAGCATACTGTTCAGTGGGAAATTAAAATTTCAAGTTAGAAAAAAATTGTGTTAACAAAAATTGTTCCTGAAACAATTCTAAACAAACTTTGTCAACATTTTTTTTTGATTTAATCAATAATTAAGGAGATAACCTCAAAATAATAA